TCAGGGCTGATGGCGGGTGACCAAAGCGAAACTAGCCCAATCTCCCAATAGTCATGGGTTCCCGTCCCTTTTATCGTTTTTAATCATTCTCCCCTTTCCTTAATTCTGTTATCGGAAATAGTAAATTAATCGTAAGTTCCATAAAATTCAATCCCGGGAAAGTTTAAATAAATGACCGAATTTCTTGTGTCTTTTTTCTCTTTTTACGATTTTTAATCTTTTTCTATGTTTTTAATTTAATTGTCGAGAAATTAAAATAACAACGGTATTCCCCCTGGAATTAAATGCTGTGAAAAAATGAAGAAATTAGGGGATATTATGTCTTTCCCTTCTCGCCTACTGGTCCTAACGCCTCTTCCCACCTTTAATTATGGTACTAAAATAGTCAAAAATTCGAGGCCCCATTTCGCCCCGGTCGTATGCTGCAAGAACGTTGCGGCGAGGTCAACTCCCTTGATGCCTCTCCGCGGCAGGTCAATCCCGATCTAACCCTCGGAACGGTCGGAAATGGCAGTCCCTAGACATGCCGAGTCCGGTCACCCATCTCGCCATCTTTGAGGGTTACTCCTAAAGCTCAGTGCGCCCAAAATCAGGGGTACCCTGAGTTCCTCTAATTTTTGCTGCCTGGTCATACAAGACTTCCATCAAAACACGGATTTGCCCCTGAGCCTAAGTCGCAAAACTGCGGATCTCAGGCGGCGCACTGCCTGTGGCCGCCTGACAACGTGACGGCTTGCTGCCTGTAAGTGCCCCGACATCGTCCCGTCGTAGCTCTCCCGCCGAGGACCCCAGCATCCAACAGCCCGCCAGGGCTCACAGGTGTCGCGCTCTGGGCGACTGCAAGGTCACGAATGCGCTGCAAACGGTCTAACGTTCCAGTCAACACGGGTGGAGGCTGTGGGGCAGACCGACCACCGCCCGTGGTTGTCGGAACAGGGGTCGGCGATGAATCGGACACCGGAGCGGGGACCTCCTCGGCAGGCACCCCATGATCCACCCGTTCCCCGAAACGAGGCACAGAAGCAGAATGTCGAGCATTTGCAGGTGCGTGTGACGGATCCGGGTGGGCAGTTTCGTGAGCGTGGTGGACCATTGGACGCTGCGCCACTCTCGACGGTGGCGGTGGCAGCCATGGGTGCTCCGACGAACTGCGGGGTGGTGCGCCAGGTGCCACCGCAGTACCACTCCGTGCGGCATCTGACTGCCTAGCACTCCTGAAAACAGGGGCGAGCGAGGGCGCTGAACTGCCGGCACTCCCCTTCCACCTGCGACTCTCAATAAATGCACGTGTGCTCTCCTCGTCAAATGCCGCAGAGCCCACACCATCCCTGAGAGGCGGGTGCTCGTTGGCTGGTGTGGAACGACCAACTCCCACATCGCGAGCACCTCGTGTCCCAGCCAGCAGCGCAGACGGTGGGGCTGCCGGTCGTGTTGCAACTGTTGTTGCAGGACGCAGTAGCGTGACTCGAATGGCCGGAGCCCCAGAATTGGGCGATGCGACGGCTCCAGAAGGGGCAGTGGGAGGAACCAGCAGCGACACTGCGTCCTTGAGGAATTGAAGAGGTGGCCACTGCAAGCTCGGATGACCTAGCAAGTGGCTCTGCAACGTTTCTATGGCCGACGCGAACTCCTTTGGACATTTTGTCGTGTCCTTCGACCAGATCGCATTCCACACAGCAAGAGTGGCTGCCTCACATCGGAACTTCTCGCTCTTYGAGAAGTGCTCCTTGGCGGCTTTAGCGCCCCCACAAATYGAACGCCCGCACAACCTGCACAGGCATCGACGACCGCTCTTCCTGCCCGCCGCCGTTGACCCATCCAAATAACGCCCTCTGGCCACGAAATGCCACACCGGGTCGTCCCGCTTGCCGTTGACTGTCGGGTCGACCTTGAACGGCGAGTCAAACGTCTTCGTGTTATGACCTTGTCGGGCGGTCGTGAGCGAGTCTACCGGATCCTTTCCCCAATCCTGC